GGAAAGACAAACAGCTTGGCTTACTCGGCCCATTTCCAAACAGCTGAGGTCAAGGCTGGTGTGGCCACGCAGGGGGAGGAGGAGAACTCACTTTGTCCATACTGAGCTCGCTCTGAGTGATGAGGGGTGCTCAGCTCCCAGAGCCAGGGCCCAGCTGGGCAGTCCTCAAGGTCGGCTTCCAGTCCCTGTCCTTAGCCCCCTTCTCAGCCTGGCTCCGGCCCCTTAGGCTGCCTGGGAGGGCAGCATGAGATAAGCCCACCTTACTGAAGAAGAGGGGGCCTGAGTCTGTTCACTTACCAAGCGTCTTACAACACTACGTAAAGGAGTCTGGAGAAGGCAATGTGGAAAACGAAGGGGTCTCAAGTATGAGGCAGTGGGGAAAGAGATATTTCAGGCTGGGAGGCCCTTTGGTTCAGTACTGTCCTTTCATTGGCTGGTTACTCTAGCCACCCATCCATCCATCCATCCATCCATCCATCCATCCATCCACCCATCCATCCATCCATTCCTTTTCCATAAACCAATCATCCATCCTTCATCCACCCCCATCCTTCTACTCTCCATCCAGCATTCAACCATTTATCCATCTAATCTTCATCCATCCATCCCTCCATCCGCCCATCATTCATCACCCATCCCTCCATGCCTACCTCTCCCAATACCTCCATTGATTAATCCATCCATCAATCTACTCTATCTATCTCACTATCTAGTCATCTATCTCACAATCTCATGTGTCCATTCTGCCACTCAGCGATCCATACACTTACTATGTACATCCCTTTCATAGGTTCATGGTTCAAGTTCTTCATTTAGCCATCTACCATCCATCCATCCATAGTCCAGCCAGCCAGCCATGAAGCCAACCCATAAAGGTTTCCTGGGAGTGCCTCTGCTGACTCAGGCTAACAGCACCTTGGGTCATTCCAGCCTCTGGGGGGTGGGGTTCCATGAGCTTGACTCTCCATAGCAGCTGTAGCTCCCCCTAGATAGAGGGGACGCACAAGCCACCTTTGAGGACTGACTGAGACCCCAGGTCTAAAAGACAGCTAAGCTCCTCCTCTGCCCTTGCTGGACCACCTTTGGGGATTAGACTTCTGGGGATTACTGAGTCAAAGGAAGAAAACCTGGAGCCAAAAGGTCCCTAAAGGGGAGAAAAGGAACATGTTTGGTATGGTTTGGGATGAGCCATTGTGTCTGGATTTTTAGTGTTGCTTCTTCCACAAAGAACCAGGGGAGAATTACTAGGCCACTTTCACCAGGGCTAGATGGCCAAGCCTGGCAAAGGGGCCAGAGGCAGCCAGGTGGGGCAGAGAGATCCCTGACCCGAGTGTCTTGGGGCCTGGACAGGTCATTCCCCATCTCTGGGCTGGTTTTCCCTTTGTATGATGAGGGGGTTAGCTCAATGGGTCCTGACACTCTTCCCAGCTTTGCAGACATGAGCTCTGAGTTTTCTGCTGATCCAAGCGGGTGCCACATGCCAGCCTGCTGCCCAATTCACACAGGGCCATCCTCCCAGGGGCCAGTGGTGGGAGGGAGGGATGGCCGTGGAAGAGAAGAGGAGAAGGAAGGAAGGAAGTGGGGAGAGGTGCCTCTATCCCCATCTGGGGCAGGCCAGGCTCATACGGAAAAGGCTTTAGAGACATGAATCATGAAAGGGCAGATGCAGGAGCCTGCACAAGCATGACTGTGTGTTTACACCAGTCTGTGGGGATTGGCGTATCTGTGTGTTTATGAGTCTAAGCTGGAGCGGGGTGGAGAGTGTATGCCTACGTAAGGGGGAAGGCAGTCGCCTGGTGTGGTGGGCCTGATCCTAGGACTCGGGAACCCTGACCTTCTGGTCACAGCATCTAACTGACTGTGAGACCTTGGGGAAGTCACTTACCCCCAGCCCCTTGCACGCTGGGACAGCTGTCATCAGTGGGCCATTTTTCCTGACACTGACCCTACATGTGTACCCTCCTTCCAGTGAACCCCTATCCAAGGGAAAGGCTGTCATTGTTCAGCTCCCCCCAGGTCCTTGGGCTGATGCTCGTCCCTCTCTGGGTGTGACACACCCAGGCCCCAGCTGGAGGGGTGGGGCCCAGGATGCAGAGTGCTCGCTGATAGAAAGCATCCTAGACAGCGGCTCTCAGGGGAGCACCGAGGGAGAGAGTGGAGGGGAAACCACTCTGCCTCAGCTGTCTGGCTCTGAGTGTGGGGGCCGATGATTCACACCCCGGGGGTAAGAGCCAGGCACCCCGTCCTGGGTCACCCCTTCTGCCCATTCATCCCATATCAGGCCTTCGCTGGAAGTCCCATGGGGTCCTCTCCCAGGGCCCTGCCAAGGTCACCTGCTTGGTCAGCCATTCCTGGGCTCCTCCTGATGCCCCAGACCATCAGAGTAGGGAGGGAAGGGAGGAGAAGCTGGGGAGCCAGACTGCCAGGAAGGGCTCGAGATGAATAATTTAGAGCCTGGAGAAGGATCGATGTGACTCATTTGTTATGTCCACAGGACCTATTCCCAGCCTCCAAGAACGAAGATGTGAAATATTGAAGCAGCGATTTAAAAGGAAAAGCGTTTATAGGGATTAAGGAAAGCTGATTGATTCTGTCCCAGGGTTAAGAAGAATGAATAATCTCAGAATAAATTTAGGACTAGGAAGTCATTTCCAGTTGGAGCCTGGAAATAGCAGAATCTCTCTCTCTCTCTCTCTCTCTCTCTCTCTCTCTCTCTCTCTCTCTCTCTCTCTCTCTCTCTCTTTCTCTCTCTTTCTCTCTCTCCTGTTTTTTCTTCCCTCTCCTTATGATTTCTTCTTCTTCTTCATCATCATCATCTTCTTTTCTTTTCTTCTCTTCTCTCTCTTCCCCTGCCTTGCCTTTCCTCCCTCCCTCCCTTCCTTCCTTCCTCCCTCCTTCCCTCCCTCCCTCCCTCTCTCCCTTCCTCCCTCCCTCCCTCCCTTCCTTCCTCCTTTCCCTCTCTTCTCTTCCTCCTTCCCTTCCTCCTTCCTTCCCTCCTTTCCTCTCATCCTCCCTCCTTCCCTGTGTGCCCCAGCCCCATGCTCTGTTCCACTGTAGAAAGAAAAAACCTGGGCTTTGCCCAAAGAGTGGTCCCCTCACCCAGGAGCAGTCATATAACACGTCAGGACATGGTCCAGGCCAGGACAGGGGTTTCAGACTTGTAAGTGCTGGAGGAATTAAAGAAGAAGGATTCTAATGTGGAGGAGCCAGCAAGCCACAGACACCCCACTTCTCTTCCAACAGTCAGAGAAGAAGTCCTGGGGAAGTAGGAGCTCAGCTTGACCTTAAATGATGGTTAGGAGTTGGAAGGAGGGATGGGAGATGGGGCAGGGGGAATGTGTGGTAATGGTGTTCCAGGTAGAAGAACCAGAGCAAAGGCCCGGAGGTGGGAACAGAGCTGGTGTGGGTGACTGGTGGGTGAGGAGACGCCCATCGAGAAGAGTGGGTATTTACAGGGGAGAACTGGGCAATGAGTTTAGAAAGCTGGATTGGGGTCAAACTTGACTTCCCTCATCAGTAACATTTCCAACAATGCCATCAGGCAGTGTGGAGCGGCAGCAGGAACCCTAGACTGGGAGTCGGGTGCTTGGTTTTGTGGATGATTCCTTCGGTGCGTGGCTGACCCAGACGGCCACAGAGGAACCTCTGACCCTCAGTCTGTGATGGCTGCTCCTTCATCGAGTGCGCCGTGTGACCCTGGGTGAGTCATTCCTCCTCGGTGACCCCAGTTGCACCACGTGTGCAATGGGGATGCTCACACTGCATGACCTGGGAAAGCCCTTTATAGGCTGCAGGAACAAACAGCTCCAGGAGGCACTCTCACCCTATCAGAGGCTCTGACAGCTGGCGAAGGAGGAGCCAGCAAGCCACAGACACCCCAGGCCTAGCAGCACCCCAGACCCAGTGCCAACAGCTCGCCTCTACGTGCTGGAGTCACACCCACCAATTAGTAATGCAGACATCCAGCTCAGCAGCCAGGATTCCTTCCTGTCTTTAGCCCACACCTTGGGCCTTTCCTCTCTGCCAGGAAATTCTTTTTTTTTTTTTTTGGCTAGGCAGTGAGGTTAAGTGACTTGCCCAGGGTCACACAGCTAGTAAGTGTCAAGCATCTGAGGCCGGATTTGAACTCAGGTCCTCCCTGACTCCAGGGCCGGGTACCCTACCCACTGAGCCACCTAGCTGCCCCCCTGCCGGGAAATTCTTGGTGTATGTTTTGAAGTACCAGCACTGGTGATCAGACGGTCAGGGTGATACAGCCCAGCCTGAGAGGGACCTCAGAGCCCATCCAGGCCAGCTGAGAGCAGGTCCTGCCCCAGATCATGCAGCGGGGATGGAACAGAGCAGGGGCTGAAACACAGGCCTTCATCTAAGGAGTCTTTCCTCTAATGCCCCATGGCTCAGCAGCCAGTGGAAAGTCTTTTATTTTTTTCATGTAGGAGATGGGATTTTATTTTTTTCTTGATAATTAATTTTCTCCAGGAAGGCCTCTGTGATGCCTGCAGCCTCCTCAAACTCCCGACGTCTCCTCTGAGCCCATCACCGGAGCTTTTTTGTCTTACTTATCTCGGTCCCCTCATAGACCAGGAGCCCCACAAGGGCAGGGGCCCGTCATAGCCGAAGACCCAGCCCAGTCTTCTTCCTCCTGTGCGGGTTGCCTCACGCTGTTGGAGCTCATGAATTCCATTCTCCTGCTGAGACTGAGCCACTGGGGCCATTGTTGGGAGAGTCTGGAATTCCACATGGCAGAGCCAGGGCTTGGCGAGCTGGGAGCCCACTCGAAGACCTAGGATGGGCTCTGCACATGGTTGTGCACCTCTCAGAGCATTCGCAGAGCACTTTGAGATTTGTGAAGTGTTCTACAAATATTATCTCCTCTGATACTTGAGGAGGCTGCAGGCATCACGGAGCCCTTCCTGGAGGAGTGGCCTTGCAGGAAGAGAAGGATTCTGGCAGATAGAGGGAGGGAGGGAAATGAGGTCAGCTGAGGGAGAGACTGGCCTATGAAGGGGAGGGAAGAGGAGGCTGCAAAGAAAGGAAACACTGCTGGGCTGGGGGCTCCTGGGGAGGCAGCAGTCCATAAGCATTTCTCAGGCACCTGTGCTAAGGCTGAGGATACAGAAAGAGGCAAGAGACAGTCCCGGCCCTCAAGCAGCTTACAGCCTAATGGGAGAGGCAAGGTGCAAACAAATACACACAAAGCAAGCTCTACATACAGGACAAACAGGTGACAATCAACAGAGCGAAGGCTTCCTTCCTGGGGTGGGATTTTAGGTCAGTGGGTCAGCAGGGGGAGAAGAGGAGGAAGAGCGTTCCAGGTGGGGGACAGCCGCAGAGAAGGCACCAAGCTGAGAGAGGGAGGGTCCTGTTAGCCAAACAGCCAGGGCCAGAGAGGATAGGTGTGGGAACCAGGTGTAAGAAGTCTGGAGAGGGAGGAGGGGGCTGGGGCATGAGGGGCTTCCAAAGAGAAGCAGAACATTGTGTGTTTGTCCTGGAGGCCATAGGGAGCCCATGGAGTTTACTGACTCTGTGTGTGTGCGTGTGCGTGTGTGTGTGTGTGTGTGTGTGCGTGTGTGTGTGTGTGTGTGTGTGATGACTGGACCTGTGCTTTAGGAAAACCACTTCAGCGGTTGAATTGAGGGTACATGGTGCGGGGAGAGACTCAAGGCAGGCAGACACACCAGCAGCTGCTGAAAAGTCCAAGCATGAGGTACGGGGCGGGGTGGGGGGGGTTGCAGTCAGAGAAGAGACGGGGGAATGTTCAAGAGATGGTGCAAAGGTGAAGTGGACAGACTTGGCCACAGCCTGGACAGGGGACTGGCGGGGTGAGAGACAGTGAGAGTCCAGGATGGCTTAGGATGGGAGCCTGAGGGACTGGTGGGGGGGGGGGTGGCGATGCCCCCTACAGCCATAGGGAAGGGAGGAGAGCGGAGGGTTTAATGGGAAAGACAATGAGTTCTGTTCTGGACACACCAGATTTCAGACGCCTATGGGACGTCCAGTTCTAGATGTCTGAAAGGCCATTTGATTGGTGGCTGGTGGAGAGATTGGGACAAGAAAGGTAGATCTGAGAACCATCCACCTAGATATATATGGTCATTAAATCCATGGTAGTCAGCTCACAGAGCTCACCAAGGGAAGTAGTCTAGAGGGGAAAGAGCAGAGGGTCCAGGCCAGAATCCTGAGGGCCCGTGCTAGTTCAAGGACATGGTCCGGAGGAGGACCCAGCAAAGGAGATCGAGTAAGAGCAGTCAGAGAGGCAGGAGGAGAGAATGATTAGCAGTGGCACAGGCCACAGACAGGTCAAGGGAGAATGAGGATTAAGGCAAGGCCACTGGGCACTTTGGAGAGAGCAGTTTTATGGCATGATAAAGCAGGAAGCAGGACGGTAAGGGGTTAAGAAGAGAGTGAGAGGAGGGAAAGCCAAAGTGTCTATTGCAGATGGTCTGCTTGGGAAGTTTAGTTACAAAGAGCAGAAGAGGTAGAGGACCGTAATTATCTCAGAGGGAAGGATCAAAGGAGGATTTTTTTTTAAGGATAGGGGAGACGCGGGCATGTTTATAGACAGTAGGAAATGAGCCGGTAGACAGAGAAAGACTGAAAATAAGTGAAAAAGGGGGATGACAGACAGATCTGTTGGAGGAGATGGGATGGCAGGGGTCGCTTGAGCAAGTAGAGGGGGCTAGCCTTGGTGAGAAGTCAGGCACTTCAGCATGGGAGTTAGTGGGTGAAGAAGGAGAGGAGGGCAGAAGGGATCTGAGTGACAGGAAATGAGGAAGAGGGGAGAAGAGGGAGCTCATGGAAAATGACTTTGTTGTTTTTTCTGTAAAATGTGAGAGAGAGTGAGGGGAGGGGGAGCCACGGGAGGTTTGAGGAGGGATGAGAAGACGTGAAAGAGGCACTGTGGAGAGTGGGAGAGTGAGTATAGCGAGATTGCTTGGCAGCGGTGAGGGCCCAGCAGAGATGGTGTAGCATGAATTTGTAGTGGACCCCAGCAGAACAGCTGTGTGGTTTTCTCCACCTTCATTCAGCAGCACGTGTGTCGGCATGAAGGTGACAAACGGTGGGAGTGATCCAAGGCTGAGGCTCAGATGGGTGCAATCAGTCGCATGATGAGGGGGCTGGGAACTCAAGAGGAAAGGACAGGGTAGAGTTGAATTGGTTCACGAAGGGGCTAAGAAGGGGAAAAGAGGAGAGGAAAAGAAGAGCACAGAGGAGATGGCTTGAAAGGGGACTGAGGGATCAAGAGATGGGAGATCATGGAACAGACAAAGAGTGAGGACTTGTGAGGGAAGGCAGAGGGAGAGGGGAAAAGCCGATAGGCTGTGCTCAGATGAAGGGGTTTCAGAATTCTTGAACGTGGAGGAGGTACATTTGTGGGTGATGGCAAGATCAAAGGTATGACCATCTTTGTGTGTGACTGAGGTGGGGGGGGGAGGAAGGCATAGGAAGTGTGTGGACGGAGGCACTGAGCGGTGAGAGTGTTTGGGGGAGAGCCAGTATGTGTGTCAAGGACAGGAGTTGGGAGGGGGAGAGAGAAAAACCGTGAGCCAGGGGCTGATTTCATTGAGGAAGGAATGGGAGTGACCTGGGGGTCAGTAGACAAGAGCTACCAAGATTTTGACTGGGGAGTAGATACGAATAGCCTGAGCCTCAGACGAAGGGAGGCAGGGGGGAGACTGGAAGCAGCGATGATGAAGTCTTCTGACTCTCCCACCTTGACCAGTGAGTTGAAGCAGCGCTGGCAGGGGCCGCCAGAGAGGTTGGGTCATTGGGAGGGAGGCAGGGGAGAGAAAGGAAGCCAGATTTCAGTAAGAGCACGTAAATGAAAGCGTGAGAGAGGAAAAGATTTGGGATGAAGGAAAGTCTGTTGCCGATGGAACAGGCATTCCAGAGGGCATAGTGGAAGGGGGCTGGGTGGTGTCAGGTTGACACTTTGAGGGTTATGGGGAGGGGAATGAGAGATCAGGTGGAGGGGGTGGGGAATGGGCTGGATCATGATCCCCAGGAGTTCAGACTGACTCAGATGTGAGGGGTGGGGGGACCTGGCTCATGCCTGGTTGAATGTTCATCATTGAATGGAAGACGCTGCTCTTCCCAACGGCCATTGGACAGCTGGCTGGAGGTAAGTGCCACATGAGGTGGGAGGCTCATGGTCAGACGGAAGGCCCCTCTTCCCTCCAACGGCTGGAGATTAGGCAGGAGAAGGGTGCAGCTGGAGACGGAAGTCTTTTCCCCCATCAGCTTTGCTTTTCCTCTTCCCTCAAAGGGCAGGCGCAGCGGGAGATAGAAGCCAAGTTGAAGGGAGGGTTGCTCCTTTTCTCAGGAGAGATCTCCATGTCCCAGTTGGGAGACTGGGCTGGAACAGGTCAGGGGAGATGCCTTGGGCTGATCTGGGTGGAAGCGGCTGCTTTGGGGCAGATGGAAGACGCCTAGCTCTTGTAACCCTCCCTCGGGGGCACGCCGTGCCCAGCGGGGAAAATGTCACAAGACAATCGGGATGTGTTGGAGGGGAGAGACGAGGCAGGAGCATTTCTGTCTTTGTAGCTGCAGCGCCTGGACCATAATTCATACTTGGGAAATACTCACTGATTGATTGGGAAGTTTGGGACCCAGTCCCTTGATCCCAATCAATTGGTTGATACGTTCCGGATTCACTAGTGTCTTTGTCCACTGTCTCACCCAGGAGCCTGAGCAGGGGAGGGGAGGTAGCTAGATATAGTGACTGGCTGGATATGGAGGGGAGAGGGAGGAAAGAGGCAGGGGTGACCCTGGGAGCCTCGATGACTAAAAGGATGGAGGCACCTTTGACAGAAGCAGGGTGTTGGGAGAAGGGGTGGGGTGAACACGTGGAGTCTGTGATATGAAGGGGGTCCTGGGCCCGATGCCTCCTGGGGATTTCTGGGCTGTCCACACCTTAACCCAAAGGGATGGATCTGTCAGGGTTGAATTTTGAGGCAATGGAAATGGCAGGAAAAGTGTCCCTGGTGGGGAGGCTCCTGGATGGACTGGGCACCCAGGAAGAGCCTGGAGGCCACGGGCTGCCTTGGCAGGAAGTGAGAGAGAAGTGCCCGGCTCACAGGACTTCCATAACCTCGAGCTGGCCTGGGCTGGGCTCTGGCTTTCACTCCAGTCTTGGCCTGAGTTTCAGCCCTGATTCCACCCCCAAGGGCAGGGTTGAGGAGTGCTGTGGGGCAGGACACAGTGATGTCCACCGTCTGTCGCAGCTCTGGCCAGGAACATGAGGAAGGCTCTGGGACCTGGGTCAGGTCGGGCTTCCCTTGGTACCACCCCATAACCCTTGTTATGAAGTCCCTTGTTTTCTCTGGACCTCAGTTTCCCCATATGCAAAGTGAGAGGGTCTAGCAGGCCTGCTAACTTGGACATTGGGGTGCGGCTTCTAGGCACGGGGCAGCTGGGACCTAGGGATACCCTGTGTACCTCCCACCTACCAGCAGCTTCTGGGGGGTGATCAAGGCTGGAGGCTGGCAGGGAAATGATCCATTTGCAAGGATCCTGACCCCCCACCCTCCAAGGCTGAAGTGGGCTGCTCTCACCAGCGTCTCAGGGAGGCTGAGCAACTCTGTAGTTCCTGCCAAGAAGATAGAGATGGTGGGAGTGCTGAGAACCAGGGTGGTCCTGGGGGTCCTTGGGGACAGCCCCAGGGAAAAGGTCATCTGAGACACTGAAGTCTTCAGCAGAAGGCCCACCCAGGAAGGAGGGAACCCAGACTGCACAGACAGCAGAGCCTGAGTCCCAACCACTCTGGGGGAGGGGGTGGGCGGCATTCACCCACAATCACCCCTCAGCCCATCCCGCTTCTTGTTTGAATCAACCCTGGAGGGACCCTTGAGGTCACCCATTCCATGGATCCCCTTTGTTCTATAAATGAGGAGGGTGACACCCAGAGAGGAGCCCATGGGTCAGCAGGGAAGATCTGAACCAAGGTCTTCTGACTTTGAATCCAGCCCACTTTCCTGTCTGGCCAGAGGTAGCCAGCAGTTCCCAGGCCTCAGACTAGAGGGGGAAAAGTAAACTGGACACTGTGGGTAAATTGTGAAGAGTGCCCCGCCCGGCCCCTCAGAGGTTGGGATCCCTTCCTGTTTTCAGAGTCCATGCTGCCACCACCTATGGGTGCCTCTGTCCAGGCCCTGCCCACTACACACCCAGAAGTTACCTTGTTCCAGGCCTGGCATCCTGCCCTGCCCTCTAGGCATCTCCTGGTGCCTCCTGGGGAAGTGCTGAGCCGGACAGGGAAATGTCAGGGGAGTTTGCTCTATGTCACCATGGCCCCCCCGGGCCTGGGGCCCCCTGGCTCAGCCTCCGCCTTCCAGCCTCCGTCATCCGAGCTGCTGGGAGGTAGCCCACTCTGGGCTGTGGCTTGGCTTTGTTGGGGCCTCCTTGCCACCCCCCCTCCCCGGTCCCCAGGTCTGTGCTTGTGGGGTATCCTGGTCACACCTTGTGGGTGCTGGACCACCCGGGCCTCGTGGGCTCACCCACCGGCGCTCGTGCTCATCATCGGGCCTCCCCCTCCCCGCCTCCCTCTTCTTTCCCTTCTCCCCCTCTCCTCCTCCTCTGCTCTGTTGCCACACTGGCCATGCTGCACTGACATTCCTCAGCACCTGGGAATGAAAGAAGCCTGTGGCAGAGGGAAGGAGGGCTGCCATCTGGAGTCTGGAGCCCCGGGTCCAAGCCCTGCCTCTGCCACCTCTCCTCTCTGGGCCTTAGTTTCCTTCTCTGTAAAATGAGGGCACTGGTCAGCCGGGATCCTACGACCAGGAGCTGCTTTTCTTCTCTGTCTGGGCCATAGGAGGCTGACAGCCCCAGGCCTTGCTCCCAAGGGGCCCCGATCTGGGGGAGAGAAGAGGAGCAGCCCAGGCCCTGCCCTCACGGAGCTGCCAGTCCCTTTACATTGTCTCCTGCTCTGCCTTGTGCCTAGCCTGTGCTGGGTCTCCTGTGAAGGCTCTGCCGGGCCTCTTACCAAGTCTGTGGGCTTGGGCCTCAGAGCCTGTGGCTTTTCCTGCAAGCAGCTCTGTGTATGCCCCTCCTCTGAGCGTCCCAGGTCAAGGCTCCTTCCTGAGAGGGCCTGGAGGATGGAGGCCTGCCCTGGGTGGGGGGCTTCTGTCCCTCCAAGCTTGGCTAGGGGGAGATGGGCAGGCATTAAGGGGCAGCCCCCTGCCCAAGCACTCCAGATCACAGTGACCTCCTGTTCTGGGCTCTGAGCACCAAGGGGATGCTGGCCTCGGGCCCATGGTGGGAAAGGGCAGCCCCTTCCCTCCTCCTTCTTCTTTGCTTCCCCAGGGCTCAAGTCAATCTCCAGCTGATGCCCAGGGCACTGACCCGGAGGATCGGTCCTCTGGGTGTCCTTATACAAATAAACACCCTGTTCCTTCTTCCTGGGCACGGAAAGTCCTGGCACACTTGGGCCCCAGGCTGGGAGAGAAGGGAGAGGCCAGGTGGGTCCGGGGGGAGCCTGGGAAGGAGAATTATTACTTAGCACTTATCGGCCAATTTTCATCTTCAAAGCTCCTTCAGAAAGCCTTAATTAATCCTGCCAACATCCGGAGGAGCTGGCCAGTCAATGCCATTAGCTCCACTTTGCTGAGGTCCCGGGGTTAAATGGTTGTAGGGGGAGGGGAGCACAGAAGGAGGCTGGTGGGGGGAGGGGGACAAGGGGAGGCCAGGTCCCTCTCCTCTGCTCCGCTCTGCTCTCCTCGGTATTAAGGATATAAAACCAAAATAAAACGGTCCCTGCCCTTACTTACAAGAGAGATATGTAAACGCAAAATATGTTCAACATCAGGTAACCAGTAAGTAACAGGGGCCATGAGCCTCCAGGCCTCCAGCCTTCCCAGCTGGGGGCACTTGAGAAGTCCAGACAGACCAGAGAGGGGAAGTGATGTGGCCAAGGTAACACGGCTAAGAAGTGAGTCACAGAAGCAGGACTGGAACCCAGCCTCTTCCTTCTGTATGGTGCTGCCTCCTGTCTATTACCAGGGAGGCCATACCTTCCTAAATTCTGCCAAGGGACCCAAGCATCGGAGATAAAGACCGCAACTACCTGGCACCTGCCTAGGTGGCTCTCCCCCTTCCCTGACATCTGAGAAGCCCGGCCCTAGAGCTGGGAGGAACCTCAGAAGACCCCGAATCCATCCGTTACAGAGGAGGAAACCGAGGCTCCGTTCAAGAGATGGCTCACTTCTCAGACCCTCTAAGAGACGACCTCATGGCCTCAGCCACATTCTCCTCCAGGCTTTCCCTTCCTCTCTCGCTGCCAAAGTAAGTGGCTCTCCTTGGCTTCCCCACACTCTGGCTCTCCAGCGTTTGCTTCTGGGCCAGTTTAAAAAGTCCACTCCACACATCAGTCAATCAACCATGACCACAGACACCAGGCCAAGCCTTGGGTCTCTGCCCTGTCACCTAACTCTACTGTCCCATCTTCATAAGAGAAGCCTTGCAGCCTAGCCAGAAAAGTCCTGCGCTCTCCTCACCAAGGCAGTATCCCCACAGCTGCCACGATAACCTCGGTAAGAGACAGGTCTGATTATATGACTCCCTTGTCCAAGAATCACCGGCAGCTCCCCGTTGCCTCTAGGAGAAAATGCAAATTTTTTAGTCTGATACTCAAGGGCCCCATACTCCTCAGTCTCCTCCAGATTGAGAGCTCCCTGAGGGCAGGGCCTGGGGTGGCTCCCACTTTGCCACAGCCCACCACAGCGCGGTCAGGTGCGCTTGCGTGACCAGCTTGGCCTAGTGGCTGTGTCCTGACCAAAGTGTTGGTGTGGGGGTGGCAACAGCGTTTGTCCTTCTTCTTGAGTTGCAGGTCAGGGCCAGAGGTGCCTCCAAAGGCCCCAAGCCTCCGTGACCCTGGCTCGGAGCCCCAGAGGCGCCTTTGATGTCCCTGCCTGGGCTAAGGGTAAATATTGATCCTCTCTTATCTTCTGGGCTGGCCTGCTCTGTATCTCCAATCAATCAATTCTTTACGGGCTTCAGCTAAGGCTCAAACCTTTCTCAAAACAAAACTAGCTTTCATGCCCTTTAATCTTTAAAATGCCCCAGCCAGGCCCTCTTGGGGAGGGACAGCGGCAGGAGACTAGCTGGTACCATTTCCCAGAAGACCAGCCATGCCCACAGCCCATGCTTTCCCCACTGCCGGAGCAACACTCCTCCCACTCACATTTGATCTTGTTCACCCTCTTCTCTAAATCCTTCCATGGCTCCCTATTACCTACTGACTACAATTCACTTTCCTTAGCCTGATATTTCAGGCTTCCACTCTAGTACCTCCTTTGTCAGCCTTATTCCATACAGCTGCCAGCCACACATTTTAGGCTCTGGTCCAAATGGACAATTCTTTTGTCCCAGAGCTTCCTCTCTCCTTTTCCACTTCCATGCTTTTCTCACACCGTTCGCTGGGCCTGGAACGTTTTCCTTCCCTAGCTTCACCTCTGAGTTCAAGCCGGTAGCTTTGGAGCTGGAGGGGCCTGAGAGAACATTAGACCCTCCCTCTCATTTGACAGATGACCTGGTCAATCCTTCTCCATTCCTGGAAGCCCCACTGAAATGTCGCCTCTTGGGGAAGCCTTCCTGAGCTGTGGACTCTTGTCTGCTCAGTGGCACATTTCTCAGATGCCCCTGGTATGGAGGCGACCCTGTGCCCAGGGAGGGCCAATTCTGGACTCTCTTCCCAGCTGGCAAGTTTGGAATTCAGGCCCTGCTGTGGAGCCTGGCCCAGCCTGGCTAAATTCAGGCAGGCTGGCACCAGGGTAGGGGTAGTGGTGGGGACTTTCTGGTCACAGCAGCCCCTAACTCACAGGAGGCTTCTGCCTGTGTCCTGGGACGGAGAGAAAGAATACATGGATTGGAGGGCCGAATTCCATGTGTCTGTCTCTCTCGTGTTCAACAGACTCAGAGCTGAAGGGTTAAGCTCATTGTCCAAACTCCATATTCCTGCCTCACTCTCTAGGGCTCAGTGCCCAGCACCCAGGGCCCGTTCCGGGCTCTGAACACGGCAGGTGCTAGCTAATAAAAGTCTCAGGAGCCCCTTTCCTCCTCAGGCTGGCCCCTGCTAGGAATCTCCCATTCAAGCCCCTTTCCTGGGTACCCAGGGAGACCTCAGTAGACACAGAAACATTGGGAGCACAAGAGTTCAACACCAATGTGAGCAAGTTAGTTTTTTTAACTTTCCATAAGCATTTATTGGGTACCTACTGTTTACCCAGGCCCATGCTTACCAGACTAGGGGCTCTATCCCAACTCCTTGGATAACTTTGGGTAAAGGCCTTCCCCTATCTTCCCTTTATCTCAGTAAAATAAAGAGATTGCCCCAGCGGAGCTCTGAGGTCCCTCCTGAGCCTCCGAGCCTGTGGCTTCCCGGGCTGGGAGCAAGGTTGGGGAGACCCCTAGCAAACTCGGGTGCTTGTCCAAACTTAGGTCTGTCAGATGTGCCTCCTCCTAACCAAGGTCTTTCCTTTCTCTCAAAAACCTTTGCATTAGAGGCTCTCTGTCCAGAGGCCAGCCCTGCCTGGAGCGAGCCTCGAGGTGGGAATCGGGCCTCTCTTGTGCCCAGTCTGGGCCCTTGCTCTCAGCTGGGTGAGAAGGTGTCAAGGGCAGAGAAGAGAGTCAAGGTGACAGCCCTTCCAGAGGACTTGGTCGTTTCCAGGGCCACTTCAAAGGGCTAGGGAAGGTGGAGCCCAGGTTCCTGATGCAAAATCGGCCACATCGCCACCTCCAGAATCTGGGCTGGTGGGCACTGCAGAGGTCCTGTCTCTGAGCCTGAGGACAGCAGCCCTTACACCCCCTACTTCATAGGGTCCGGGGGTAAGGAAGAGGTTGGCCCCAAAGTCCCTTTGGAGTCTAATGTCCAAGGTGGAGGCTGTCTTTAATACGCATCCCAGAGGCCTCAGGTGTCTTCAGGAAGCCCTGGGCCCTCCTCCTCATCCAAGGTGGGATGGACAGGGTTAAGAAGAGCTGGGCCTTGCTGGCTCCGCCTCCCAGGGTTACTCTGTGCTAATAATATCAGCCTTGGGCCAGGGCCAGGGCCAGGCCCTGCTGCCGTAGGAGGGTATTTGCTCTGGCCCCAGCATTTACTAGGGATTATTTTTGGATTAAAAAAAACACAAAACCTGAAAGGTCATACAATGACTGTCCCACACACTGTGAGGACAGAGTGTGCAGAAGCAGGCCCTGCCAGGCCCCCATCCAGCCCCGCCCAAAGCTCACCAGCCTCCTTGCCTCCTTCCCAGGGTGAGCCCAGCCCCTCCCCCCCAGCTTCCCCACCATCTGCCGGCTGCCCCTGTTCCCCATCCAGAACATCCAGGTTGGCAGGAACGTTAGAGCAGAGAACACGGAATGACCAAGCTGGGAGGGGACCCTGGGAGAGGTTCTGAGCCAGCTTCCCTGCCCAGGGTGACCTGTCCAATGCCCAGCAGGCATGAGCCCCAGCTCCTGGACCTTGGGGATGTCTGGAAGGCAGGGAAGGCAGGGCCCTTGGGCCTGCTCCCAGGCCTGGGAGAGGCCTTGAAGGAGGGGAGGAGATCCAGACCCCCGATAACCTCTTATCATTTCTGACGTCAAGCCTGGGAGGGAGGACAGATGGGGTGACTGCCCTTATTTTCTGGAAGAAGCCACTGAGGCCCTTCAGAATGAAAGGGATCTTGTAAGTGTCAGGCCCAGTGCTCGAGGCTGGGCCCTCTGAGCCCCTGTCTAGGACTACTCTGCCCAGCCCCCCAGTACTCCCACTCTGCAGGTGAATGCTAAGGTGCTGAGCCTCCATCCCCCACCACGGGGGACTTTTAGGCCCTGGGAAGCCTGATGACAGAGGGGAGGTCTGGCTGCAGAGCGGTGCACCAAGGGCAGGGTGGGGGGCTGGAAGAGGAGGGGTCTTTACTGCCAGATAAAGGCCTGGGCTGCAGCAGGATGTGAACAGAGCCCTTCCTGACCACTACAGTTTACATTGTGCTCGGAGACTCCCAGCACAGTAACCTGCCTGAGCTCCAGAGGACTGTGGAGGAAACCCCTCCCCCCATTTTACCAATGGGGAGACCAGGCAGCCCAGGAAGGAAAGGGACCTTCCCAGAGGGCCTGACAGGTGGAGGTCACATCTCCCCACTCCTGGGCCAAAGCTCTGCCTTCTCTTGGCGGATAAAAGATCATTGATTGATTAGTTAATAATCCATTCTGAGTGCAGAATCCCCCATCCAGCTTGCTGGATCTGAGCAGGGCGTCTGGCCAAACGTAGCCCCTCACCCTGCTCCTTGGATGGCTATCCTGCTTGCCAGGAAGAATGGTCACCCAGGCTCATTTCAACCTCTGAGCTTCTGGTTCAACCCAGTTATGGGCTCGGTGTACCCTCTTCCTCCTCTGTCCTCCCCACCCTGCCAAGACATCCCTTCTCTTCCAGGAGGCCCTCCCTGACTGCTTCAACTGAGGCCCCCATCCAGGAGAGGACAACGTCCCTCTCCCCTCTGAACACTTGTGATTCTAAGCTCTCGGGCTGCTCAGGGTCTCCTGTCTTCAGAGGACGGAGCTCTGGGCTAGGCCGGGAAGGTTCCACACACTTTCTGAGCCAGGGAGGAAGAGGGACCAGAACATGAGGCCTGGAGGAGGAGGGTGTAAAGACAACCGGGCATTGTTGGTCAGCCAGCTGAGCTGGAAGAAACAACAGTCTAGCCTAGCAAAAGACCTGTCCCTGCCCTCTGGGAGCTCCCAGTCTTGGGATGTGGCCCCATCCTTCCCAAGCTTAAAGTCTGGGGCTGACCTGGGTCTCCTCCTTAGGCAGGCAACAGTTGAGGGGGTGTGGTGGGATGTGAATCCATTCTAGGACTTCATTTGATTCCATTGAACATGCATGTATTAAGCAACTGCTGAATGCAGAGAGCTCTAGGAGAAGCCTGTGAAGGAGCCGAAGGTCTAATCTTCTGTTCCTGCCCATAAGGCCTCACTATCTCACCGTCTAGCTCAGATGGGTTGTATGGAGTGCCCAGGAAGAACCAGCCCCTCTGGTGAGTGGTGTGAGCCCTTCTCAGGGAGACTTATCCATCCATGGAGTCCACGTGATTTACTCTACCCTCACGTGCAGCGGCCATAACCCTGTAAAACCACTGTGGCAGAAAGGCTGACCCAGGTAACTGAAAGGTGAGTTAGGGAGTGGTCTACCCCAAGCATGTGAGGACCATCCCCGGTGGAATGGGCGGATGAGAACAAGTTATTCCAATGGCTAGAGGCAGCTGAAGCAGGTGCTGTGAGGCTTAGAGCTTGGTCAGAAGCAGAAGATGCCAAGGTCATCGCCTGCATCCCGAGCCTTGGCCGCTCATCCTGACTTTTACCTTACCTCCGTGTTGATGACTTAGGGACAGAGTGAGGCTGATCACTGTGTGCAGTTCTGCTTCACTTCAATTTATGAACCAGTCAAGACGTCACCCATGATGTCACTTGTCCTCTTCAAAAACAATCCCCAGTTTCAGACATGAGTACAGAGAATTCCCGCCCAAAGGCAGCATCTGCTAGATAAACACAAGAAAGTTTCCCAGGATAGAGAACTTACCTTGAAGCCAAGAGGCAAGTTCAAATTCTGCCTGACACCTAATGGCTGTGTGACCTTGGGCCAGTCCCACAACCTCTCGGTGTGCTGGGAAACTCTCTAAATCCCAGAGAAGGTGCAGGGAGACTTTCCTCCCAGGGATCCAGCCCCATCCCCTTCCCGACTGTCCCAGGCAATACTGAAGAGCAGCGGAGGTAACCACCCTCCCCTCTCTGCCCCGATCAGACCCAACTCGTGTTCCGTTATGAGAAACACATTTTGGGGAGGACTTGGTAAGCTGGAGAAGGTCCAGAGGAGGCCAGGCAGGATGCAGAAGTGTCTCCAGATCTGCAAAGAAGAAGATGAGGATTATTTAGCTTTGAGAAGAGAAGGCTCAGGGGGGCTTCGATTGGAAGACCTTTGGTGGGAAAGATTAGGCTTCTTCAGCTTGGTCCCACAGGCCAGGTGGAAAGCCAGAGGAGATGGAAAAGACACCACTTTAGGCCCAAAGTTAGGAAAAGCTACCGAAAAGTCAAAGCTGTCCCCAGTGGAAAGGGCTTCTTTGACACGTAGTGAGTTTCCCATTGCTGGAAGTATTCAAGGGGAAGCTGAAGGATCGCTTACTGGGCATGTTATAGAGAGGATTCCTGCTCAGGGCAGGGCTAGGCTAGATACCCTCTGAGGCCCCTTCCAGCTCTCACAGTCTCACAGTCTGTGGTTCGGAGCCTGGCAGCCCCCAGAGCAAAGTTGAGGAGGGAGAGATGGTTGGGGACGGGGTGGGGGGGAAGGCTGGGGCAGGGATATCTGAGGAGTGCCCAAACATCCCCAGGAAAGTCTATCAGTGTATTCTAAACCCCCACTGGGTACCATTCTTTACCCCACCCCCAAGTGCAAAACTCTGCTCCTGGAGCCAGCCACCTGGGCGAGGGCTAGAGGCCCAGAGCTTGCTTGGGGCAGCTTTGCCAGGAGACAGAAAGAGGGCCTTTTCAGAGCTGCCAGGATGGAGGCTGGGCCGGGTGGGACAGCCTGGTGGAGCCGGGAGCTGTTTGGATTGGAGAAGCAGAGGGGGTCAGAAATCAGACCGTTGGCTCTGTGTGTGTGTGTGTGTGTGTGTGTGTGTTTGTGATTCATGTATGCCTCTGAGTCAGTTTTTTTCCCCTCTCTGTATGAAATTGTGTGTCTATCATCCTCTGTCTGCTTGTGGGCCTCAGAGGGAAGCCCCCAGCAGAAAAGGAGACTCGGCAGAAGCCAGCTGAGAATCCCCGGCCCACATGGAGGCAGAGGCACAGGGCAGCCCCCTCTCCAGGTGCCCTGGCCCTCCTCAGGCCTTAGCTCAGTGAGCACCCACACACACCAGCAGGCTCTCAGAGGAAAGGGGACCACACTCAGTCACCCAGCGGGGAGAAGCTGCC